TTGGACTAATCACTTTTCAAAGTGATCTATGCACAAGACCCAGGTCTGGGGGTAGATGCTCTAATCTGTTCCACACTCTGGGCTTCTGACTATCGTGTCTTTTAAAGCAAGGGTTCCATTGCTGAAAGGAAGTAAGGGAAAAACGAAAAACAAAAACTCTGAAAGCTGGACTGATCTTCCAGTGTCTAAACAGACAAACATTAGAATGACCTATTTCCTTTTTCCTACTCCACCTCATTTGGATGTCCCCTTGCCTAGCAAGAGAGTCAGAAGCACGGAGAGACGGGACTTAATCCTGGATTTAATAACATCATTAATCTAATCCCAGCTCATTCCTCGGGCATTTTCTGGAAAAAAAAAAAAAAAAGCAAACAAAGAAACCTCAACGTGCAGCCACTGAGTGGAAGGCACAGCGCCCCCTTCAGGTGGCCTTGGGAAGCCACTGCTCCCACCACACCCCCCATCCCTGCTCGCTGACCTCCTTAGCCAGGGCCCTCCCCAGCCTGCCCTTCAGGTGTTTCCACCTTCAGCCCCACCTATTCCAACACCAGATCTCATATGCCTGGTCATTTCTGTGCCAGATGTAGTGTCAGGCGCTCCACGGATGAAGTGCTTCAGGGTGCTTTGTTACCAGGGAGTCTACTTGCTCTTCAGTTCTTGGGGATGATAGTTTGGTCCCAGAGGGACTGTTTCCACCCCCCCACACACACCCCCCACCAAAGAAATACCAGATTTGAATAAACCGTGGCACCGTGGCTGACAAGGTTTGAACTCACGTGAGAGCAAAACATGAAAAAACAGAAAAACAAAACCCATAAACCTAATAAAGAGCTTGTTCTGTACAACTAGAAAAGAATGACACCAAACCATTTAAACATAATTTATGTACATTTATGGCTTTATACAGTAACAGCAAAGATTGTTCTTGTGTCTGTAAGTACATCAGCATCATCAGGCACTTCTCAGAGAGTATGGGAACGGGAACGTGGAACCTGGTACTAAACTCGAGTAGCGAAACGTGGGCGGGAGTGACTGCGTCCCGACGGGATGGACGTGGCCGCACCTGGCCACGCTGCCAGGCTGTCAGCCCCCCGCCCCCGTCAGGGAGGAGGCCAAGAGTAATGCTAGGCTGTTCTGTTTGCATAAACCACACTGCAACTTTTACTGAATGGTTACTCCCAAACTAAAACCACAAGAGAAACTTCTTGTTTAAAAGTCAGTTATAAATTAAGAACTCTTAGGAGCTGAATGTAAGAATTTCCAGTTGGGGGTTGGGGAATGGTGGGTGGGAGGGGAGGACTGATAACATATATCCAGCAGCTGAACGGGTCCGAATCGTATATTTGGGGGGAACTGTTTCCATTTTAAGTGTCTTTCTCCTCTTTTGGGGAAGATGTTTCACTGCTTTACTGCTCACTGGGGTATAACATTTGCTAATTAATTTAGACTTTGTCAGTTTGTCAAAGCAGAACTTTCCAAGTAACACATCTATGACCTAAATATATTCCATACGTCTATATTATGGAAACAATACTTTATATTTAAAATATCTGAATAGCTCTATAATACAATATGCTTTTAATAACAGTACAAACCAGAGGAAATAAATCAAACAAGGCTGCATAGGTGATATCATTTGCACATTTCACAAAGCAATCATGTACAATAACTGATAAACTCATTACTCCAGAAAGTCAGTATTCTTACAGAAAAAGAATTACTAGAGGTCACATAATGTTTGTTTTCAAAATAGACAAGGTGCCTTTCACTGGACTTCACTGTACCCCGGAGAGCTACCCAGGATTCCTGTTAGAATTTCAACACAAAGAAAACTTTGAAGGAAAAAAAAAAAAGATATTTACACAGACTCAAGAGGAAGCAACATCTTTTTAAAAGTCACCCTACAAAGTAGTAAGATTTTAACAGTGATTTGTAGCTACGGTCGCCTCTTCAATGAACAAGGTGGGGAGTCTCACCGTGGGATGCCTGGGAGGCGGGGAGTGGTGGCAGGTGGACCCAGAGGGGAACATGAGCACTCTGGCTCCAGCGAGCTCTAGCACATGTGCAGGAGGCACTGCTCAGAAGAACGAGGGTTTCAGAGACCAGACTTATTTTGGAGTGGCCAACAATGAAGATGGCTAGAGAGGTGGCTGTTTAATGAATTTTCAGAAGCACAGAAGTCACTGTGGGAGCTTACAGTAGAGCCTGTCTCCTGGAGGAGAGGGCCATCAGAACACCTGTGTTCTTGTTAAACACGGAGGAAAAACCAAGCCAACAGAGACGCAACTCAAAGGCAAGACACAGCAAGTGTGAAGTGGGCTGGGTTCACAGAAATCAGAGCCTTCTCAAGAGGGCCAGAGGAACGTTTTTGTGCACCTGTTCCTTTTATTGTGCGGATTCTCAGCGTTCCACATGACTTGAACACACCGATGGATTAAATGGCAGGCAAAGCCAATTAACTTGGTCTGTCAGTACAGGTAATTGGAAAATATCAATATTACAACATAAGGATCATTAATTATAATTGGCGTTGCTAAAGACAGAAGAAACTCTCCAATTCTTAACTTACACTAAGGCTTTTTAAAATAAATTCAAATATACCACTTACAGCTGGTTTGTTGGGTTTCAAATTCATTGCCCCGATTTTTAAGCAAGTTCTATTCCACTTGGTAGCCACCTGCACTCATGAACACAAAACATTCTAAAAATCACTCAAGTGCCACTTAAAAATTCCCCACTTCGACTTGGCCTTCCACAGGGTGCCAAGTAGCCCAAGGACAGAGGGAAAGA